GTGTTGGAAAATGACTCAGAAGACCTTTGTGACAATATCAGTAAATTGGTGAAAGACATCAGCTATTGTTATAGGATGTCCAAACTCCTACTAAATAAACTAGTCTGTAAAGATTAGAACATCCTGCCTTATTTAACTGTGAATAACGGTCAGCTAAAGCTAAAACTGTTAAACCTCTAACAATGCCAAGGTAACTACGAGTAACCAACGCAGTGAAGAAACAAAATTAGCACATAGCTGGAAAGTTGGATTTTCTATTGCTCAGGCAGAGTTACAGTAAAACATACGGGTCTTAGAATCCGTCTGTATTATTAAAATATTTTTACTTTTTTATGTATTATTTATTTACTTACTGTTTAACTTAGCTTTTACCTGATTATTATTTATTATAGTAGACTATTTACTTTGCATATTGTAATGGATTGCATTTTACCACTGTTTTATTCTACATCTTTATTATTTTAATTGTTATTACTTTTAAATAATCATTTATTTACATAATAATAATAATAATACATCAAACTTAAAAAGCGCTTTTTAGGTCACTCAAAGACGCATCACAAAAGGCAATAAACACATAATAAAACAAAATGTAAAATAATGAACAAACTGCGGGCATACTGGGTCAGTATTAGGGGAAGGCCAATTTGAAGAAGTGGTTTTAAGAAGTGATTTGAAAGAAGAGAGAGACGGCATTCCTCATGTTTAGTGGGAGAGAGTTCCAAAGTGTGGGGGCAGCGGCTGCAAAGGCTCGATCCCCCATGGTGCGGTGTGCTGTTTTGAAAGGGGAAAGGAGGTTGGAGAACGAAGGTGCCGGATAGGAGAATTGCGATGGAGAAGTTCTGTCACATAGGATGGCGCAAGGTTATTGAGGCATTTGTAGGTGATGAGGGGCAGTTTGTTATGGATCTGGTATGGAACAGGGAGCCAGTGGAGTTGTTTAAGTACCCGAGTTATGTGGTCCCTGGAGCAGGTGTGGGTGAGTAAACATGCTGCTGAGTTTTGGATGTATTGCAGTTTTTGCAGGGCTGAGGAAGGAAGTCCATAAAGAAAGCGTTTACAGTAGTCCAGTCTAGAGGTTATGAAGGCAAAGATGAGTGCTTGGGCAGTGGATGAGAAAGAGGGATGGACGGAGACGGCCGATGTTGCAGAGGTGGAAGAACGATACCCTGGTGATGTTGTTAATGTGAGACTTAAAGGAAAGGGAGGAGTAAAAGATGACACAGAGATTACGAACTGTAGAGGAGGGAGTCGCTGTGAGACCGTCAATTTGGAGGGAAATATTTTGAACGGATGGTAGGAGAGATCGTCAGTGACTTGATGCAATTTGCTGGGTTCCTTATATAGGAAAAATTATTTCTGATTGGCCTAATGAACTGTCCTGAATTGGAATGTTTATTATGTGAAGTGCCTTGAGACGACTCTTGTCGTGATTTGGCGCTATATAAATAAACTTGAATTGAATTGAATTGAATTTGGGACGAGTGACGATGAGTTCTGTTTTGGAGCAGTTCAATTTGAGGAAGTTGGTGTCCATCCAATGTTTTATGTCGGCTAGGCCTCCTGAGATCATGGAAAGAATGGCTGGAGTGATTGATTTGCTGGAGATGTAGAGTTGTGTGTCATCAGCATAGCAATGAAAATGAAGACCATGTTGGCGTATGATGTGACCGAGGGGAGCATGTAAAGCAGGAGTGGGGAACCCTGGTCCTCGAGGGCCGGTATCCTGCATGTCTTTGCTCCAACACTTCTGATTCAGTGGTTGATTCACCTGTTCTGCAGCTCATTAAGCTCTGCAGAAGCTTGGTTATCACCTGTTGATTGAAATCAGGTGTGATGATGCAGGGTTGAAACTAAAATATGATGGATGGCAGCCCTCGATGGACCAGGGTTCCCCACCCCTGATGTTAAGGATGAAGAGGAGGGGCCCCAGCACAGAGCCCTGAGATGAACCAGTTGAGTGCTGAGCCTGTAATACCAATAGATGATTGAAGACGGTTAAGAAAGATGGAGTGATCGATAGCTGAGCTGAGGTCAAGGAGGAGGAGAATGGTGAGGGAACCGGAGTCAGAAGCAATCAAGAGATTGTTGGTTACTTTCAGTAAAGCACGTTCAGTGCTGTGATGAGCGTGGAAACCAGATTGGAAAGTTTCAAAGAGTTGGCAGGATTGTAAGTATTGCTGGAGTTCAATAGTGACTGAATGTTCCAGGATCTTTGAGAGTAGTGGGAGGTTGGAGATGAAACTATCCATAGAGTCTGGGTTCAGACTGGATTTTTTCAGAATGGGGGTAATGGAGGCGAGTTTGAGCGAAGGTGGGACAGATCCAGCGGTTTGAGAGGTGTTTATGATATTGGTAATTTTACATACATAATTTCCAAACATTTACTATTTTATTAGCTCTTGTTATTTTTATATTTAATCTAATATTAATCTTTCTTCAATGTTTCCTCCGTGGGGACCTTCTGGCTCGGGGGCGGTGGTCGACTGTTGCTGCTCGG